AGGAAAAGGAGGAAAAGGAAGACAACTGAGCTGAACCTGACCCCCTGCTCAGAGAGCTCTGGGTTATCTTGTCCATTTCTTATCCAGAGACAGTAAAAAATAAGCTTAAAAATGTGTGTAGTTCTAAAATATACTTGAACTAGAGCATATTAACTGTTAAACTATCACTTATTTGTACAGACCGCTGTTTAAAATACAGGAGAAAGCATTAGCATTGTAAAATGTTAATTGGTTATGTTGATCCCAGGAGCCAGGCAGACATCCTTTGTGCTGATCAACATTTAAAGCTGAATTATATTGCTTAAGTAAATTATAAGAAAAAAGCACAGTAAGATTTGTAAATAAGTAAAATGATTGATAAAATACAAGGAGGGGAAACATAAAAATACAGAACAGTATCTTCTGTTTAGGAACTGATAACTGTTCAAGAAATAATGACTTTGTTGAGTGTGACTAAAGGCAAGGACCACTGCTGTATTTTATATCTGCACTGAGTCGCTGGCTCAGAGCAGACAAAGGCGTATCACACAAAACTATTTTAAGAGAAATTGCTCCTTGCCATGTAAATTCCTGCTAACCAGTGATTACTCACAAATACTCCACTGGGGAAACTGAAATCATTGAATAAACAATTTAAAAGCTGAAGTAGAGAGTGCTGATTGCTCTAGCTCAGCTCACCAGGCTGCTCAGATACAGGACTCCTTGCCAGGGTAACAACATACTTGGAAACAACCCGAGTGCCCATTCTGCCCCTTGTAATGAGGTAGTGGGGCCAGAAGTGGTAACTGGTGGAAAGACAATGAGGACATGAACAGCTTCTGCTGCTAATCCAGGCATTGTCCCTACTCCGTGGGGATAGCAGAAGACTATAATCAGTGTTTCGTACTACTGCAAAACATGTTATTTAACATATAGTGTTTAACACAATGCCAACTACATTGATCTGCTATGAAACTAATACTTCCAGTAAGTTTTAAACCCAAGTGCTTCCTACCTCTGAGTTTCTGGGTTTCATTTCCCTTTTCCCCCTTCTCTAATCTCTGCCCTGCTGGTGGTGAGTAAAACAAAGAATGTTTCCGTGTGGCCGGCGCGGTGCTCGCAGGAGTCCCTGCGTACCTGTGGCGTTCGCATCCT